AGTAAACTTTCTGTTTATAGCAAGTCCTTGAATAAAATTGTTTTGTTCAACATCATTTGGTTATAACACTGATGAGAAAAAAAAATTGATTCCCAGTTGGGGCCACTGTCTGTGGAGTTTGCAAATTCTCCCCATGTCTGCACAGGTTTTCTCCAGATACTTCCACATCCCAAAGCTGTGCAAATTTGGTCAGTTGGTGTGTTTAAATGATCCCAGTCTGAGTAAGTGTGTGGGTGTGGGCGTGTGCCCTGTGATGGAATGGCATCCTGCCCAGAGTTGGTTCCCACCTTGAGTCCTAAGCTCTGAGCTGCTGGGATAAGGCCTGGCCACCCACAAACCTGAACTAAAATATTTGGATAAGTAATTATCTTACTTTATTAATCTTTCTTAAATGTATGTATAGCTTACATTAATCAATGTTTAATATTACAAGTGTTTTAGTCTTTATTTAGAAGTTTAATGATGTTTTTGTGACCAATATAGGCCGTAGGAACTTGTTTATATCTACAGTCAAAATGATTTCATTATATGTCATTTTGCTTAAAGTCACAGTTTCCAAAAACCTACTGATAACGTTGAGGACTTATTGTACCTGCCTTCCCAGGTGCTTCTTTCAATAAAAATAATGGCCAGGCCAAGAATAAAATGAATTTTTGTGTCGAGAATCCTGCTTAAAGAGAACTTAGAAACCGACGTATGTCCCAAAGATTTGAAAATCTATGTGTCTTCTCACACCATGTACAATTTCTTGTTTGACTCTTCCTATAATGTCAATTTACAAGATGGGAGATAGCTGATTGACTTTGCGTCTTCACACTAAACAACCTCATCTTCCTCTCAGATTGGTAAACTCCATGACTACCTCTATGAAATCTATGATTCACCCCAGGAGGGATACTGATTATCTGTCAGTGCTTCAATGTGGTCCACCTTCACTTGGTGTAACCTCTGGCCAAACTGCTCATTTGTGGTGGGAATGCAGGTAAGGGTGGTTTATCTTACTGTTTTTGCAAAACAGGTGTGTCTACCTGCTGGTCTCTAATTACTGACAGTCCAAGGATGAAGGACAACTAGTAAAGACTAGGAGCTCATCAACTATTCATGCATAATTAAAATAATGAAATAGAACTGAATAGAAAATAGTATAAGGCACTATACATATTAAGGGTGAGCTACGGTTTCAGAAAACTTTATTTCAGTTTCACACAGGTATACATATGCTTACTGGGTAATGATACAAAACATTTTTTTTTTTTTTGAGTTGGAGTCTCACTCTGTCACCCAGACTGGAGTGCAGTGGCCGCTCCCGGTCACTGCAGCTCGACCTGCTGGGCTCCGGCGATCCTTCCGCCTCAGCCTTCTGAGTAGCCGGAATTACAGGCATGTGCTACCATGCCTGGCTGATTTTTTGATTTATTGGAGAGATGAGGTCTCGCCAAGTTGCCCAGGTGGGTCTTGAACCCGTGGACTCATGCAATCCACTCACCTCAGCCTCCCAAAGCGCGGGATTACAGGCTGAGCCACCGAGCCGGCTGATACAAAACATTTTTTACTGTGGGTTCCAGGCAAAAGTTTGGAAGCCACTGCCCCAGGTCACTGATCTTTGGTCTTAAGTGCCCCATTCCTGAACCATTGCTGAAAAGTGTTGCTTTAAAATTATTTGCAAGCACTTTCTTTTTTTTTTCTTTTGAATTGGAGTCTCACTCTGTTGCCCAGACTGCTGGAGTGCGGTGGCTGCTCCTGGCCACCACAGCCTCAACCTGCTGGGCTCTGGAGATCCTTCCGCCTCAGCCTTCCAAGTAGCTGGAACTACAGGCACGCGCTACCATGCCCGGCTAATTTTTTTGATTTACTGTAGAGATGAGGTCTCACCAAGTTGCCCAGGTGGGTCTCGAACCTGCGGGCTCAGGCAATCCACTCACCTCAGCCTCCCAAAGTGCGGGATTACAGGCTAAGCCACCGAGCCTGGCACAAGCACTTTCTTTTAACACAATGCTCCCTGGCACTGGCTCATTCTCAATTTTGTGATTCTACTCTAAAGAAGAGAATAATCGTAGTCCCAACAAGAATGACATATCTATTTTTTAAACTACTTTGCATATGTACCATTCATCTGGTATTTGACTTTTCTTTTCAATGCACATATCTTTCCTAACTAAACTGGAAAAACTAAGGAGTATAGCTATCCAGTTGCAACTATAGCACCCTTATATACATACAACATGCTTGATCAACATCCTTAGAATAAACCCCTTTTCTCTGGCAGAGTCCTTCTTTTGGAATCAATGCCTACTGAGCTCTGGTTAGTTTAGGGATTGGAAAAGTTTACGTTCTAGGCTTTGCCTGCCTGGCTAAAATATTTAGCTAACTCTACCACCTGCTCCAAAGTTATTCTAGAATAACTTGATAATTTCCAGGTTTGTTTTGGCATAGTGTATAGCACTACACTCTAAGGCTGCAACTGTAAGACTATAAACTCAAACAAAGTAAGCTATCATTAGCTAATAAACATAGGATATTCATTTTTGTGGGAGTTGGATGACATTCCTTTTCTTTTCTTTTTTTTTTTTTTGAGTTGGAGTCTCACTCTGTCACCCAGGCTGGAGTGCAATGGCACATTCACAGCCACCTCAGCCTCAACCTGCTGGGCTCAGGTGATCCTTCCGTCTCAGCCTTCTAAGTAGTTGAAACTACATGTGTGTGCCACCATGTCCGACTAATTTTTCTTGATTTATTGTAGAGATATGGTCTCACCAAGTTGCCCAGGCTGGTCTCAAACTCCTGGGTTCTGGCATTCCTCTCGCCTCAGCCTCCCAAAGTGCTGGGATTACAGGCGCCTGGCTGACATCCCTTTTCTACTTGATACGTACATTGTTTTGTAGGAAAAGGTGACTCATGAATTTCCAACTATGTGCAAAAGATAGTCGCATTTCTATACACTAAGAATAAACAAACAGAAACCCAAATAAAAAGCACAATCCCATTCACAATAGCCACACACACACAAAAAGAGGTACCTTGGCATCTTCCTTACCAAAAACATGAAAGATCTTTACAATGAAAACTACAAAACACTTCTCAAAGAAATCAAAGATGACACAAACAGGTGGAAAAATATTCCATGCTCATGGAATGGAATAATCAACATTGTTAAGATGTCTATCCTACCTAAGACTATCTACAGATTTAACGCAATACCCATTAAATTACCAGCAGCATTCTTCTCAGACCTGGAAACAACAGTATAGGAATTCATATGGAAACATAAATGACCACGAATAGACAAAACAATCCTCAGCAAAAAAAAAAAAAACCAAAAAAAACAAACAAAAAAAACAAAGCAGGAGGTATCACACTCTCAGACTTTAGACTTTCTCATAAAAATACAATAATCAAAACAGTCTGGTATTGGTACAAGAACAGGCATATAGACCGATGGAACAGGACTGAGATCCAGAAGCAAATCCTCAATTTCTCAACCAACTCATCTTTGACAAAGCCTCCCTTTGACAACTACCAGAGAGAAGAGAACCTATTCAGTAAATGGTGCTGGGAAAACTGGCTGATTACATGCAGAAGATTAAAACAAGACCCCTGCCTATCCCCATACATAAACATCAACTCTAAACGGATTAAAGACCTAAATGTAAAACCTCAAACTATAAGAACCTTAGAAAATGCAGGAGACAACTTTATGGAAATTGGAACTGGCAATCAATTCCTGACCAAAATCTCAAGTGCCCAAGCCATAAAAGATAAGATAGACAAGTGGGACCTCATCAAACCGACATACTTCTGCAAAGTCAAAGACACCTTCAAGAGAGCAGGGAAAAAGCTCACAGAATGGGAAAACATATTTGCCAACTGTATGTCTGACAAAGACCTAACATCTAGGATCTACAAGAAACTCATATGGGCTGAAAAGAAAAAAATAAACAGCCCCATTACAAAGTGGGCAAAAGATATGACTAGACAGTTCTTATAAGATATACGAGCAGCCAACAAATACAGGAAAAATGCTCAGCCTCACTAGTCCTCAAAGAAATGCAAATTAAAACTACACTGAGATACCACCTAACTCCAGTCAGGACAGCCATCAACAATAACTCAAAAAACAACAGACGCTGGAGAGGATGTGGTGAAAAGGGAACACTTCTATACTGCTGGTGGGAGTGTAAACTAGTACAGCCTCTATGGAAAACTGTGTGGTAATTCCTAAAAGATGTAAAAACTGACCTTCCATATGACCCCACAATCCCCCTACTGGGAATATACCCAGAAGAACTCAAATCACTCTATGAAAAAGATATCTGCACAAGTATGTTTATCGTAGCATTGTTCAGAATAGCAAGAACATGGAACCAACCACACTGCTCATCAAAAGAGGACTGGATAAAAAAAATGTAGTACATATATACGATTGAATATTATACAGCCATAAAGAAGAAAAAAATCATGAACTTCACAGCAACCTGGATGGACTGAGTCTATGATACCGAGTGACCTATGACTGAAACAAAGAACTGAGTGTCACATATTCTTACTCATAAGCAGACCTTGAACAATTATCATAATACTATAAGAAAAGGATTGGTAGTAGTGGGAAACTGCCGGGGGTGGGGATAGGGGTGGGATTGGCAGTAGTGGGAATCTGCCGGGGTTGGGGATGCACACTTCATCAACAAAGGGTACTGGCATAATGAACATTTGTATACCCAACCCTGAATTGTACCCTACATCTTTAAAATAAAAATAAAAATAAAAAAAAGAATTTCCAACTATCTAAACAACTATACTTATTAAGATTTTAAATATTTGGTAAATCCACAACTTATTATCTATTTTACCCGAGTTTAATGTGTTGGGATCATAGCTTGCAAAACCTTCCTTCAAAAAGTAAAATCAAGTGAATTCCCTACACCTACTAATTCATACTAAACAACCAACCAACCAAACTAAACATTCATAGTTTACACACAAATAAATCACACTTTTGCTACCTGCTTATTCATTTCTGTGATGTTTATCCAGACTTTGTTCAAGCCCAGCTCTCCAGATTCAATCATTTCAAGCTGTTTTTGTTTGCTGAGTAGCTCTTCATTAAGTTTGGGGATTTCTTGGAATGAACTTTTCTGATTAGATTCCACTATAAAGACGAAATAAGATCACAAATATTAACAATAAAGTTTTCTTATGGTCCTAAAGTGAAAAAATGATCATACATACGAAAGAAGATGGATTAATAAAAGTTAATTCTTGAATTCATTTTTATCAATTACATTGTTTTTGTGTTTATGTAAATATATACCTTTCACAATAAAGCTTTATTTTAACTGGGGCTATTTCACCATTGGCAATGCAACTTTTCAAGTCAAGTATCTAAAAATCATAACAAAGAACATGAGCAGAAAGAGTCGGATTTGAATCTCCCCACTCTGTAATTAGTATGATCTTGGACAAATTACTCAAATTCTTAGTGCTCAGTTGCCTCATCTAGAATACAGTGATAAAATATACTTCACAGAATTGTTAAGATTAAGTGAGAGAATGGCTAGAAAGCACTTAACACAACTGATCAGGCATACAATAAATAATAAATAAATGTTAAGTACTGGCCAGGCAATCAATATTTATAAACCTTACTACATTAATGCTCAAGGTGACATTATAATTTGTGTTTCTAAATGCTTAAGTCTATTTTCTACCTTAAATTGGTCAACTGCAGGATAGGGGTCTTACTATCTTTTAAACATTGTTATGAGGATTAAGATTTTTAATCTTTTTCACAAATAGTAAATAGCATTTTCTTAAGTCTTAAATCAAACCAAAAGCTCAAAATAAAATAGGATAATAGGACATTCTAGATGAAGTACAGTGACGGTTGGTCTTTCTTTTGGTAAATAATATCTCTTGAATGGTTTAGAGATTTGCCAGCCTGAAAGCTAGAGCCCTGAAAGTGTGCTTTCTCCTCATTCTTTAGAGAGCATTTTCCTTTTTCACTGAAAAGGAAATATTAATAATAGCTGGTTCTCCAGAATAAAACCTACATCATTTTTTTAGAGCCACAGACGGCCTGATTAGTTATTATATACTTTCTTAAAACCAAAAACAGCATAAAGGACTTATATAAAATCACTTGCTAAAATGTGAGCTCCAAGATTTTGTTTGGTTCATTTCTGTATAATCAGCACTTAAAATACCCTTGGCATGTTTCAGGCACTCAATAAATATTTATTACCTGAATAATTGTGGCCTTTGCTTACCTTCCAACTGCATTTCTCATCACTTTATCTACTTCTTCAATCCACTTTCTAGCCAAGTTGATCTTCCTGACATACTAACCTCTTCAGTGACCTTGCACATACTATGCTTTCTGCCTAGATGCCCTTGGTTGCCCCTCATTTGTCACTTCAGCATAGTTAACTCCTTTTAAGATTCAGTGGAAACAGCCAGGCCCCTATCTTAGACTGCCACACCTCTTTATTACTACAAACTCTCCCAAACACTTCACATGCTGTGCTATAACTGTTTACGTATCTGGCTCCTCTACCAGGCACTGAGATGCTTGAGGACAAAGACTAGACCTTGCTTGGTTATGTATTCCCAATGGCCAGCTCAGTGTCAGGTACACCGAGGGCTCAAATGCTTGTCCAGTGAATTAACTGTCGGGTATGAAATGGAATTAATGTTATACTACTAAGTTAAACAAAGAAAATGCAACAAATAAAAAATCCAAACAAGCAAACACATTTAACAACAACAAAAACCCTCACAAAATTGGGAGTGATGGTGGTATCCTCATTTCAGGCAAGCCCACTATCTGAAAACTCAGAATAATTAAAAGAAATTAAATATTTTTATTCTTTTTTTTTTTTAAGTTAACGTCTCACTCTGTTGTCCAGGCTGGAATGCAGTGGCCTGATCACAGCTCACCAGAGCCTCTAATGCCTGGGCTCAGGTGATCCTTTCAAGTAGCTGCCCAAGTAGCTGGGACTACAGGCACGTACCACCACACCTAACTTTTTTATTTTTTGGTAGAAATGAGGTCTTGCTATGTTGCTTAGGCTGACTTTAAACTCCTAGGTTCAAGCAATCCTCCTGTCTTGGCCTCCCAAAGTGCTGAGATTATAGGTGTAAGCCACTGGCCCAGCTACTTTTATTCATTTTTCAAAAACGTTTGCCAAAGGATTTCAGCCTCCTGAGTAGCTGGGACCACAGGTATACACCACCACTCCTGGCTAATTAAAAAAAAATTTTTTTTTGTAGAAATGAGGTCTCGCTATGTTGCCCAAAGGCTGGTCTCAACCTCCTGGGCTTCCGCCTCAGTCTCCCAAAGTGCTGGGATTACAGGTCTGAGTCACCATGCCTGGCTGTACACAGTCTTTCCTAGTCTTTAAGATGAAGAAATAGAAATTTCTGCATATACCTTTTAAATAGTACATATACTGCAAGTAGCGATATTTTATATTTATACAATGTCTTTACAGTTTGCAATAAACTTGTATGTAATTAATTATTTAACAACTTGCTATTAAGCCCCTACCATGTGCCCAGCCCTGCACTTGACATCAGGGTATACAAAAGACCCTAACTTCTCAGTTTTGGGGAGCGACACGTGGTCACAGAATTGTTATACAGCACGACAGATGTTATGGCAGAAGAATGCCCACTGGCTTTGGTCGCACAAATACATCTTTATGCTTAATGGATGAGAAAATGAAGACTTAGAAAGACTAAGTGACTTGTCCAAGTTTTACAACTAGTAATGAGAAACAAGAATTCTGTGAAACCTTTTGCTCCTAGGACCAGTACTCTTTCTAGTATACTCCAGAGATAACAGACACTTATATCCCCTTTACCCTTATTAGCACAAGACCATTTGCAAGTTCTGAACTAAATGACCAAACCAAACTTTGTCTGTATGTCCAAACAAGGAGATATTTGATTTATTAATACTTTCCTTCTCTTCAAAATTATTTTCATTCATTCTAGTATTTCACAGATGAGTGACAGCGAGGAATGGTTGAGAATAGAATCTTTCTTAGAATAACTTTGGAGGTCTTCTGAAGTATCTGGTTCTGGAAAAAAGAATACTGAGCTAAGAGTTTCAAGGCTAGCCAGTACTTTTAGCTTAAGGATCAAGTTACTCCTTGACCACAAAGAAAAGTGCCAAGCCTATCTATTTGCTTTCTATTTCAGACATTTTAACAATCCCTCTTCCTTTCCTTACAAGTGTCTTGGAAAATTTATTGAAATAAATAACAAGAAGCTCTGAATTTCTAAAATAGGTATGAAAGGCAGACAAGCAGGTGGTCTTACTTGAGTCAGTGAATCTTACTGTTGTCTTCTTAAAAAACAAGAAATAAAAGTTAACTTTAAAAAATATATTCAGGACCGGGCTCGGTGGCTCAGCCTGTAATCCCGCGTCTTTGGGAGACTGAAGTGAGTGAATTGCCTGAGCCCGCGGGTTCAAGACCCGCCTAGGCAACTTGGCGAGACCTCATCTCTACATAAATCAAAAATTAGCCGGTTGTGGTAGCGCATGCCTATAGTTCCAGCTACTTGGAAGGATGAGGTGGAAGGATCAGCGGAGCCCAGCAGGTCGAGGCCACTGCACTCCAGTCTGGGCAACAGAGTGAGACTCCAACTCAAAAAAAAAAAAAAAAAAAAAAAAAATATATATATATATATATATATATAAAGAAGCATAATTTAAAAGACTATTTAAACTTAACAAGATTGACCCCACTCAAAGACATTGGTTTTCACCAAAAAAACCCCCAAATTCTTGGACAAGTAGTCTCCAATGACTCAGCCTATGGACTGACTGCCCCAGGCCCCATCCTCCACCCTCCTCAGGAAGTCCTGCTTTTAGATGTTGTAGGTGCTGGCATTTCTATTGTGTAAAATCAAAGCCAACAAAACAGCTGGACTGACAATTCTAAATCTGCTTCATTCAGCAGGTTGACAAATGTAGTCAGGATCCCAGGGGAATGTTTCTCAGTGGTAGAAAGCAGGCTTCACAGTCCAGGGTATAATTCCTGGCATCTACTGAAGACAGTATTGTATTTCCAGGGATTGGTATTAACACGTGCCTAACAAATATTTGCTGATTGATTGATTGACAGGTCTATTACAAGTACAGTTACTACATGTTAAACATGCATTTCCAAACAAAGAAATTCCCTGAAAAGCTCAGCTAAGGTATAAATTACACAGGTATCCTGTAAACAAAGGCACAGAGCAGCTAGAGAAAGGAATCCCTAGAGGGCAGAACTGAGTAATGTTTTGAATCGTATAAATAAATAATTGCTACACGTGATCAAAAAAGCTACACACAATCCTAGGAGACTCAACTAATTATGGAGCAGCAATGGTACAGATAGGAGTCTTCAGTGATTATTTATGTTTAAACACTATTTCTGAGAACCCTATTTCCAAGTTAGGATTACTATTTACATACAAAGAAAACAATGGTCTTAAAAACATCTTGCAATACTGTAAGGACAACCATTAAGGAGGAAAAATAATGATAGGGTAAAAATCTTATTCTTTCTTCTACTGTATTCTGAAAGTTGATAAAACATAGAGGTCAAGATGATTTTGGCAGAAAACTGTGGCTTACTCAAACCCATTCTCTGAATCACAAACTCAGAAGAAATCCAAAGTTATTATTTCAACATTTTTTTTTCAAGCAACATCTCTAGAAATGTAATTAACACACTAAGGATTAGCTGTTCCTAGGTCAAATTTAAAACTGGAATAACTTCAGGCAGCAAAGAGAAGCTGGAATAAGGGAAAGTGAGGATGTCATCTCCCAGCCTTCAGATGGAAAGTAAGAACTCTAGTCCAGTTCTAGAGCCAGATTTCTTTATGACCTTAAAAAAGCCTTTTGGTCTGTTTCCTGGTGTGCTAATACTACTAAGGTTAAAGTATTTGTGATTAAATTGATGCAGGTTCCTTTGTTTAGAAGATTCACCCTTAAAACCCAAAACCAAAAATTTCAGTGATGCTAAAAAAAGATATATAAGGGCAACCCCTTTGGGTCCTCTCCCACTGTGGGAGTTTTTCTGTCCTCTCAATAAATCCTGCTTTCTAAAAAATAAAAAAAAAGATATTTAAGTTAAATCTGGTTGAAGTTAATATGCAAACATACCTTTCAGAAAAAGTAACTTGGATATGTAAAATACAACTTTACAATTTAGAATATATACAACTCTGTGACTTGGTAAGTCCCTTAAACGTTAAAATTCACTGCTAGTTGTATAGTATTCAAGGTTGGCAATATCATAATTATGTTAAGCCCTTCATGACAATATAATTTAGTTCAAAGAATCACAAAGGCTTCCTAAATCTTTAAAATGATAACATTCATTAATAGCATTTAAAAATTTTTTTTCCCTTGAAAGATGTCATGAGTATGAGCATAGCTAAGAATAGGAGAGAAATCTATTAGTTATTGCTCTAAGCTTGAAAACTGATAAATATGCAAAAAACCAGCTCTTCTAGTACTTCTACTAAACTTATTTTAGATTACTGGCCAAGTTGATATCAAAGAGATCTGTGGGCACTTGAAGAAATGTGTGTAGGCTTACAAAGCCACAGGGAACATTGATGTAGTATAGTGGTAGCTATAAACATGAACTTTGGCAACAAGAGCCAAGAGGGCCAGGTATCATCTCAGCTCTGCCAGACTTAATTACTGAACAAGTTACATAATCCTTCTAAGTCTCTGGTTTTTTTAAAAGAGCATAATAATAACAATACTCATCTCACAGGATTGTTTTGGGAATAAAATGATTCTGTGACTTGGTACACAGTGAGCATTCCATAAATGTTGGCTATTATTATTCTTATGTCCATGCCTCTGTTCCTGTATAGTTTTTCTTAAGAGGAAACCATTTGACAGGTGTCCCCACATTCTTTTTCAAATGGCTCTGTGAGGTAAAAGGAAACAGCACAGTGTTGATTCTGCCACTTTATACTTGGGGAAGTACAGGCCACAAATGGAGGAGGCTAACAAGGGTGCAGAGTCCTGGACTTTAGCTTCCTTTCTGCACTCTAAGTGCTGACTGTAATGCCATTATTTCAGGTGCCACTTGTCTTGGTGGTAAGCACTGCCTTTTGCTTGTGAGTTTATAAATAAATAAATGTCATAACACTGAAGCTGACAGCTGAGAAAGAGTATGAAAATGTTGAAAGGAATGTATAACCGCTTCACCAGAGTGGACAAGACTCTTAGTTCAGCATGGTCCACTCTGTTGTAGAACCTGGAAAAGAGTCCAAGGTTACACAGGTTACACTTTGAAAAGGGTGACCGCTTACTTGTTCTAAATTTTTCCTTGAGGGTGTCCAGATCCTCCTTGAGAGCAACTTGCATCCACACCAAGCCAACACAGGCCACAACACAGGCAGCGAGGATGACAAAACCACAGAGGGGATAACAGATCTTGCAGCATCGTAAATATTCTCCTCTGCTCAAAAGAACAAATTCAACCATGAGTACAAAAATGACTATGAGCATAGCTTTATTAGAAATAGTACTTATGTTGCCATGCAATTATCTTCTCTAATGAGTAACCAGAGGGTAGGTTAAGGCCCTGAATCTTAACAGCAGGTTGAAGAATAACTAAATAATATGACCTATGAAGAGTTCATCTATTGTGTAAAAAGGTTTTAAACTTCACATGAAAAAAAGGGAGTTCCTGTGGGCAAAAGAAAGAACCTAAGGGCACTGCAGCTCACTGCCATCATCAATTCTGGAGGACGGTCTTTGAGGACAAGCTCAGGTTCAGAGTGTAAAGACCAAAGTTTTTCTGCAATTCCATCATTGCATTATAATTTACCTATCTATTTCTCCCTCTCAAATACATACTCCAGTGGGCCTTGTTTCAATTTACTGAAACTTTGTAAGTTTTTGAGCAAGTTTACTGCAAATAGAATGACAGAAATAGGATATGTGGGCTTAAGAGGACACCTAGCTCATTGGCTCAGAAGAAAGGAAACAAAGAGGCTAGATTTCACATCAAACCAAACAAGCCCTCAATGTCTAAACTAACCCAGCAGGGTAACTATTCCAGGACTAACACCTCATCAGGCCTTCACATCCTAAACTCAGAAGTGCCTTAACTACCTACTCTGACAAAGCTCATTAGAAACCAAACTCTTTCTTTAGCAAAATAAAAGAACACAGGTATTTTAAACCAACAAATCATCCAATCTCTCAGCATCCAAACCTTCTGCTAAGCCTTTGCTTCCATATCCTTAGCACAAGTTTAGTGTGCTCCCTGAGAGGGTCCAAGGGCATCTTCAAGGTTCCCTTTAGCCCTTTCCCACCCTAAGCCCCAACTCCCAGTGTCCTCAAATCTTACTACTTGATTTGTCTAGTGGTTTCACTACCTACAAATGGTCTGGGGAAAAGATGCCTCTTCTTTTTGCCCCCCATTCTCCCCTTACTCTCAAGGCAAAACTTCCTACAGTATGTCCCTCATCATATTCCCCCACCACCAGGATTCAGGGTGCAAAAAATGAATAATTTGAGGTCCTAAGGCGCCTGACTCTACTGCCATGTTTTAAAAAGGTTTAGTCCCAAAAGCTTCTCTGTTCCTCTGTCTCTATTATTAACTTCCTTATGATCCCCCTGAGTTCTTGGCATATCCCCCAAGTCCCACTTCCACCTTACATTTACAGCTTTTCTTTCTACACCAAAAGGAAGCTCTCTAAATTATCCTTTATTCAGGATCTTAACTCACCTTTTTCCTAAACCTTTTCTCCCTCTTTGCCTTCCAAAGTCTACACCCTTTTTTCTTCCTAAGGATTTCCCTTCTCCCCTTGGTAGTGCAGGGAGATACTTTTCCCCATTCTATCCCTCACTACTCACTTGACAAAGCGAGAGCGATTTCCAGTTATGCCAAATTCCTCTTCCTCCTCTGAGCTGGACTCCGAGTCTGAGTCAGGAGGTTCAGTGCGAAGCAGGCGGTGGCTGCTTGAGCCTTTCTTGGGCTTCTTTCTCCGGCTGTCCCCAGCCAAGCCGATCAATGCATTGAGCTCTTTACGCTTTTTCATCTTCTTGTGTGGGGTGAGTGGAGCCCCCACTCCTGAGCTGCCAGGTTCGTATCCCACACCCAATTCTCTTGCTGCCTTGGAATTGCCTTCCAGGGTGGGGAATCCTGGGCCAGAGCCCCCTGGTCACTCCCACCTAGAGGTGGGACTGACCAGATCTACTGGGGGGCTGGAGATTGGAGCCCAGAGGAAACCGGAACTCAGATGGGTGGGGGAAGTCACAGAGATGGCCACGGAGCTGGTGATCCAAATGGATAAGGTCCTGGGCATGCAGTGTCAGATAAAAGGGTGGAAAGAGGGGCAACCTTTATCTCCTAAAGAGGGAAAAAAATCCAAGTCAAGAACGAAAGATTCTCAACCCCGATAAATAGGCAATATTTCTAAGGGTGTTCCAGGAGCTGGGAAAGGACACACAGGACAATGTTTTGGACCTCTGGAGCAGGATTTCCAGTGGAGAGGCAGGAGAAACTTGTTCGTGAATGGGAAGAGAGGGGGAGGTGCAGGGCAAGAACACGCTAGTCCCCTCCTGGCTGAAGAGGCGGCAGCAGGAGGGGCTTCCAGCCACTACCACCCCAACACTGCCGGGCCGTCGAGAAAATGCCCGGGCCGGGAAGCCTGCTGGGGTCTGTCTGGGACGATCACCGTTCTCCGGCCTCCGTCCAAGTCTGAAGGGAGCCCGAGACCGAGAAAGACCCAGACTGGCTCGGAAGGCTCGAACTGAGAGGAGCCAGTCCCGTGCCCGGGGAGACCCCAGCCCCGTAGTCGGCCCGGGGGCGCGGTGTTGAGGACGGCGGCTCGGGCCACCGAAAGCACTCCCGCCCAGTTTGAGGTGTTATGGCACCTCTCGGCAACTCACACGCGCCGAACCCGCTCCAGCCGCGACTCCCACCCCTGCTCCGGCTCTGGCCGCGGCTGCACCCGATACACTACTTGAGGCGGCGGTGGCCGCGGGCTCCAGACCCCGGCCATCGCTCCTGCCCCAGCTCACTTCCCCTTTGGCAGCAGCCGCTGGCACCGCCTGCCAGTAAACCGCGCCGCCATTGGTTGGCGGCCGGATGACGTCACATCGGAGGGCGCGAGTGGTGACGGGGAGGCGGGGAATTAAAGGGGCCCTGGATCTGGAGCGGGCTGGGTCCCGCCCGCCGGTTAGGGAGGCTCCGCCCCCAGCTCCACCTGAGAGTTGCCGCTCACCTGAGCAGGGGCGGGGCGGGGGTGGGGGGGGGGGGGCAGCAAAGCATCCAGCTGCTCAACCTGCTTGGAAAGGTCAGCAGCTGCCCAGGCCCCCAGTTATGAACCGGACTAACTCAGCCTAGGGGCACCGCCTCTCTGACTCGCAGACTGTTTATTAAAAGTTTAGACGCGTTTCTGATTAATGACTCGGTTGAACACATTCATTCAGCCAATAAATATTTATTGAGTGCTTACTACATGTCAGGAGCTGTCTAGCGCTGGGGATACACAATGAACAAAATAATGAACAGGGTCCTTACCTTCCTGTTGCCAGATTTAGCAAATAAGAATACAGAGCACCCAGGAATGTTTGAATTTCAGATAAATGGCAAATAATTTTTTAGTATAAGTAGATCCCATGCAACATCTGTGATATCCTCATGCTAAAGAATTATTCGTTGTTTATCTGAAATTCAAGTGTAACTGGGTTTTCTGTATTTTACCTGCCAGTGTGTTCCTGAAGCTTATACTCTGGTGGGAGGAGAGCAACAACAGGCAAACATATTAAATGTCAGGCGGTGATAAATGTTATGAGGAAAATTGAAACACGGTCAGGTGACAGGGAGTGCCTCTGTGATAAGGGGGCATTTGGTCAGAGGTCAGAGGAAGTGAGGGAATGAGCTGTGCAGTGGCTGCAGGCAGGGGTGACCAGGAACACTGCACCTGAAGAGCAGGGAGAAAGGAAGCTCAGAGAAGCGTCAGGGGCTGGAGCTTGAAGGACCTTATGGACCACTGCAAGGACTCTGGGAAAATACTGGGAGCAGTAAGCTGAGAGGAGGCATACCCTGGCTTTTCAGTTTTAAAAAAGATCACTCTGGCTACGGTGTAGAGAAAGGAATCAGGGCGAGTGAGGGACACAGGAGATCAGTTTATTACACAATTCAACTAGAGATGATGATGATAGATTAGGGAAGCAGTAGAGGAGATGGAGAGCACTCTAGATGCTTCTTGAAGATAGAGCTAACAATTTTTGCTGATGAAAGGTGTTGGGAAAAAGAGAGAGAGAAGTCATGGATGTCTCCAGGGTTTGGAGGTAGAACCAACAGAAGAAGGGAATTGCCGTTTACTGAGACAGGGAAGGGCAGGTTCGGTACAAGCTTGAGAAGTCAATCTGATATTCAAATGGGGGCTGTTTGGTATATCCATTGGGAGTTCTGGGCAGAGATTGGGACCTGAAATACAAATTGGGGAGTCATCAGATGAAAATGATATTTAAAGCAAAGTGCTTTGAGCTACTTGAAAGAAAGTCACTTAAAGCAATTTTTATACCCATATTCTTATTGTGGCAATTACACTGCCTGTGTCTGGGGATTCACCCAAAGCCTGGGTCTGTGTCTGATTTGTTTTTAAGTGTCTAACCCAGAGGTATGCACCTAATAGCAATGACCCAATACATATGTGATGACTACATAAGTGAGAGGCATTGCATAGACAGATGAGTGGAGTTTTGAAATCAAGAGATCTGGGATTCAATCCCTCTAACGCCTCTAATATTTCCTGGCTGTGTCAGCATGGAAGTTACTTAGTTTCTCTGAGCTTCAGTTTTCCTCTTTGTAAAGTGGGGATAAGCACCTATTTCATCGAACAATGAGATGATTGTGAAAGTGCTTTTTAAGCTCCAAATCATGAGGTCGTTGTTCCATTTTTAGTGTTCTTTTCTTGTTTCCAGAGCTGCATTGCCCAATATAGTAGCCACTAGCCACATATGGCAATTTATATCTATATTTAACTCAATTAAAATGAAATCAAAATTTAAAATTTATTCTCAGTATCACTGGCCACTGTGCCCAGTAACCATATGTAGTTAGTAGCTATCAGGCAGCACAGATTAGTACAATTCCATTACTACAGAAAAAAACATTTTGTTTTTTCAGTCAGAATCTCACGCTGTCACCCAGGTTAGAATGCAGTGGCATGCTCATGGCTACTGCAACCCTCACTTACTGGGCTCAGGTGATCCCTCCACCTTCGCCTTTCATGTAGCTGGAACTACAGGCACATGCCACCACACCTGGCTAATTTTTATTTTTATTTTATTTATTGTAGAGACAAGGTCTCGTCAAATTGCCCAGGCTGGTCTCGAACTGCTGGTCTCAGGTAGCCCTTTTGCCTCTGCTTCCCAAAGTGCTGGGATTACAGGCATGAGTCACCGTGCCTGGCACCACAGAAAGTGGTGGTTTATTGGAAAGTTCTGCACAAGCGCTTCCCCGAAGGACTGGGGATGGACAGGTGAGGCTCCTGATTCAGGAATCATTTCACAAACATATCTTGTGGTCACCAGAAGCCCTAGGCAGGAGAGGTGGCTGGCCCAGGATGGGTGGCTTCTGGTGTTGTAGATGCCACATCCTCACCAAGGTAACCAGAGGCTGAGGAACCCAGGAGAATGGGGCAGGGCTGAGGGTACACCTAACTGCAATAACTTGGCCAGCCAGACCCCACCCTCTGCAGGTGGAGACCTCCCCCAGAACTGGCCAGTGGGCTGATCATGGGTGGAGAGGCTGCAGGAGTGGAGTTGACAGATAAGGACACACTTCCGCTGGAGCTATCTCTCGGAACTTCTGTCTGCCTGTTTGTGATGGTAGATAACACCTCCTCCTGTGACACAAGATGCTGTCACCCTTTGAAAACTACTGGCTGTTTCTCTTCTCTCTGGAGCTCTTGGATATTTACCTGACCTCCCTCACACGTGGGGCTCTCAAGGCCAGGTATTAAGCCAATCCTTCTGTACTGAGAGGCCCAGGCTGCCCTCTTGCACCAGGACTCCCAAGGTTGTGACCCATCTTCTCCTTTGGAGATGTTCAAGCTATGACCTTGTGGCATCCTGTTAACCTGCCTGAAATGCAAGGTGAGCTTGGGGAAGTCACTTTACAGTTCTGGCGCTTCCAAGTTCCTGTCTGCAAGGTGGGGACAGTAATATTCCTTGTCTAGCCTTTTGCTTAGTGTTGTTTGGGGTAGAGAGTGGCTTGAGAGTGCTTTAAATGCTGTGAAGTGTCATGCAGGGTGGGTGTTTGTCTGCTGCGTGCTCCTGGCAGCTCTGTGGAAAGGCGGGCAGGGATGAGTTCCCATGCTAGAAATCACAGCCCGAGTTAGTGGCAAAGTCCAATCTTGAGACTCTGTGCTACCTTGGAGAACTCCCCAGAGTGCGTTCACTTGGAGAAACTGAGGCACAGAGTTAGGACAAACTTACCCAGGGATATGGTCAGAAATTAAGTGCAGATCTTCTAATTCCTGGGCTGAAGTTCTTTAAGATCTCAGAGTCCCCTTCTCTACTGTTTAGATCTAAGTCTGTATCTAAACACTGCCCCTTGACAGTGATCTTGGGCAAACCACTAAGCCTCTCTGAGCCTCAGCATCCACATTTGTGAAGTGGTGGTCATAACAGTTCCAGAATTGGCTACGGAATTTGTGGGAACAAGTGCAAATGAAAATGCAGGCATCCTTTTTTCCTTTCTTTTCCAATTTCTCTCACAATATGTCATGCTGTTGATTAGTCACTATTTAATGTTGGTTTCCTGGAGTCTGGTGATACTTACAAGGTGAGTAGAGACCCTCATGGGAGTGTGGGGCCCTATCTCACGACTTGGCATACAAGCCCTCTTTTCCTCTCCCTGTGCCAACTCCCAGGTCCCTGCCTGCAACAAAATTGTGAAAGAGGGTGGTGGTGGTGGTGTGGGGGTAGTGATGGTGGAGGAGGGGGAAACAGACAGCTGAGAACCCCATCTCTCGGAGGAGGAGGTGGGGAGATGACGAGAGGCAGGACCATGTGTGAGCCAAGGCTCCAAATATCCAGTGTATGCTCCGTTGTCCTGTCAGACTTCACTTACAAATTCAAAGATAGAAAGATTAAGAACTTTAAGAGGGTGTTAAACCCTAAGTATGGATCATCCTTCTGAGAGGGGGTTCGGGGCAACTGCTCTGGTGACACACCCACACAGTTGGCTCTGGTAGTACCTTAGCTCATAGAGTGTCTGTACAAAAGTGATATGCTCGACGCATTGCAAATGCTTAATAAATATCAGTTGTTCCATTAATGTGATTGTACATTAAGTGGGATTTTTAATAGATTTGTTAAATGTGATTTTGATGATGACCCAGCGTATGGGAAAATATCTTCATTTACCCAACAGAAAACACTACTTTATTTGCTACAAGATTCCTCTTTGACACCATCTTTCTTTGTAATTTGCTATGGTAAAGTAGGGGTAAGCAACAGAAACAAACACTTAAAAATACTTAGGTATTGGCTCAAACCTGTAATCCCAGCACTTTGGGAGGCCAAGGCAAGAGGATTACCTAAGCTCAGGGGTTCAAGACCAGCCTGGGCAACTTGATGAGACCTCATCTCTATAATAAATAAAAGAAATAAGCTGGGCATGGTAGTGCATGCCTGTAGTTCCAGCTACTTGGAAGACTGAGGCGGAGGGATCGCTGGAGTCCAGCAGGTCAAGGCTGTGGTGGCCGTGAGTGTGCCACTGCACTCCAGCCTAGGCGACAGAGTGAGACTCTGACTCAAAAAACAAAAACAAAAACAAAAACTTAGGTATCATGCGTTTATGTGTTCATCCTCATTACAATAAGTCCTTCACTAGGCAAGCATCTCAGTCTTGCCCTAACCAAGAAGGAAATTGATGCCCAGAGACCGAAAGAGGCTTGCCCAGGGACACACAGTGAATCAGTGGTGGGACCTGGGGCTTGAATCTGAATTGACCTGCCCCTGAAGCTTGAGCTCTGCATTCAGTGCCCAGCACC